AAGGACGTTTGGCACGAGTCCCTGGGTAAGGAGGAAAGCCCTCGGGCCGGCGCAGCAGCCGTGCAGGGAGCGGGTGAGTGCAGCAGGGCAGGGCCCCGGCAGCGAGCCCAGGAGCCGCCGCCCGTTCCCAGAGACACTGAGCGTGGCAGTAATTAGTGTGAGAAGCTCGTTACCCAGCAGCGGGGAGAGCACTAATTACTGAGACAATTGGGCAACTTGTAGCTCGGCCCGTGCCCACCGGCAGGGAAATGCCTCTGGCCGGGCGTTGCTGGCCTCCCCAGGCCCAGAGCGCTGAGGGCTGGCCGGCCCTGGCAGCTCCAGCCAGCGGGGATTTGTCTTTCCGAGGCCTGGACACCACCGAGAGCTCGCTGGCCGCTCGCTTCCAGGGGTCCAGTCTCCTTTCTAAGGCTCCAAAGAGCCCAGAGCTCAAACACAAACACCTAGGGAAGGTGTGACACCCTCCAGCCGTGCAGTTCTGCATGCTGGCAGCACTCCAAGCACAAGGAATGCTGCCCGAGGTGGACACCAGCTCTAGGGATGCCTGAGAGGGGCAGGGGAGCAGGCGGAGCCGTGTGGCACCATCAGCATCCCCACAAGATGCCTGGGCTCTGCAGCCAGTCAGATCGGTAGAGAGCGGGATTTCTCTCAGTTAAACTGCCTGTGACCCGAGGCAAAGGCAATTACAGAGCAGCTGCTCCCACTGTGCCAGTGATTACAGGGCTAATTGAGCTTCCCTGGCTGCAGGCCTGAGCCAGGTGGCCAAGGAGCAGCGTTCCCAAAGCACCCCGCAGTCACAGGACGTTCAATCCCAGAGCCTGCTGCCACAGAGCGGGAGCCTGTCCCAGTCACACAAGATGTAGCACTGCCCTCCCGAGAGCTTTCCAGCAGAGTCCCAAGGGAAAGCAAAACACAGCTGCCCAGATCCCCTGCTGACACCAACTCATGGCTTGCACCAGCTCCAGGAAACCTCATGATTTACTCTGACAGGTGGCTCTCTCCAGGCTTTGCTAGCAGGAACAGACTGGCAGGTTCCGAGCCCATTCTGGCAGAGGACCAGCCAGTCTCATCATGTGTTTTGTGCTTGCTGTTCCTCCCAGCCTCGCTTCCTGCTGGAAAAGCAGGAGAGGGGCTGTTTTCCTGAGCATTGCTCTGGAGGAGATGAAGGAATGTGAGCAGATGTGGGCAAAACCGAGTGAAACACGGCACATTATTGAGCAGAGACTGCAGCAGGGAGGGAACAAAAGTGCTGCTAAGGAGCAGTGCAGGTGAGGCTCTGCCAGGACAGGGACTGGGGAGCTCATGCCACAAGCTGTTCCACTGGAGCCACCCCATTCTGCTTGTCTCGTAGTGAGATGGAGGGATGAGAAGCATTTCTTGTGGGAGATGTTCCCGCTGGATAGGCCGGAGACTTCAGGTGTGAAGTGACTGGCAAGGGAGAGAAGGCCTCTGCTCTGGGCTTTGACACTGTCCTGAGCTGTCCTTGAGATGTTTGCGGCAGCTTTCCAGAATTCCCTCAAACCTCCAAACTCCAAAGCTTGGACAGTTCATACCATGTCTATAGTTGCAGTCAGTCCCATAATTACAGGAGAATATTACCTTCCATTCCCTGGAGCTACAGGAAGATTACGACCCACTGACCGGGCGCTGCCTTGGGGTGTCTGATCGGAGCACGGCACGACACGTGTGTGGCAGGTGACAGCGTGAGAAGCTGACAAAAGGTGCAGACATTGCCACAGGGGCAGCTGGACCTCCCAAGTGGCTACAGAGCAGTGGTGTGGACAGAGCCCAGATTGCACAGGTAGGTAGCTGGAGAGAGGCACTGCAGGCCTCCAGGGGCAAGACCAGAACTTCTGAGCAACTCTGTCAGTTGTAGCACATAATGAGAGATTATACCAAGGTAAAGCTGTCAGAAATAATGAATTATACACAGATCTTTAAAAAAAAAACCCACATGAAAGCAATAGGCTGTTCCCCTGGGAGGAGACTGAGCAGACAAAGGAAATACAAGGATTGGAAGGAGGGTCAAGGAATGTGAAAAGGGATTGCAGAGATGTGCAGATGTGCCAGTGCTGTGAGGAGGAAGCAGCCAAGCAGCCCTTTGTGTGATCACACTGCTGCAGCATTAAACCACAGCTGTTTTGGCCATGGTGGTACCAAAATCAGTTGGTCAAATCCCTAATAACAGTGGAGCATTAAGAACCTGCCATTCTTTATTGGTTAGATGCACGAGGGGACATCTTTGAAATACCATGTATGTTGAGCACAGAAAAAGCTCCTGTATTTCTGTTACAGGAAATATTCTGATTCTATATTTTACAGACATGTTCATTTATTTTCCTAGAATAGGCGTACCTAGGATAGTCATTTCCCCAAAATCATTAGCTTATGTTCCCTTCCCGTTGCTTGTGGATTCTTCCATCCCAGGGGTCTCTGGGTGGTCACAGACCCCAGAGATGCAGCTGAGCACTTGAGGAACTGGTGTTACTTTCCAAACTTGGAGCTGAGCTGGCATAACTGGGCTGGTGACTCTCCTGTTCCTCTTGGTTAATGTTTGACGTGATCCTACAGAATGAGCATTGTGTGGTTCCATAGGACAGTGGGTTTTGAAGAATAGCTATTGTATGAGCCCACGAGGTGTGCAAACAGCTCTTCCTCAGGCACCAGCAGGACGCACATCACACCTGCTGTCCCTGTGGGAGTGTGGGGAGGCCGGAGCACTGCCATCCCTGAGGACATCAGGGAATGGGCTGAAGGCCCAGCAGTGCAGTGTGGGTGCATCTGCTGCTCTCTGTCACTTCCTGCCATTGCTTAGAAGCAGGGTCACCTTTTTCTATCTGAGAGCAGAGTGACTAGGTGACACAGAACATGAATTTCCATTGGTTTACAGAGCAGCCTCGCAGGTTCACTCCACACACCAGCTGCTCAGAACCACGTGAGTCAAGGAGCATTCCAGGTATGGAGGACAGGCACAGTCTGACTGCTTCCTTACCCCAAGGGCAAAACCAGCTTTGGTTATGGCTGCTTCTTGCCATTGCTGTGGGTAATCTTTCTGGAACACTGTGGGATCTAGGTGGAAACAAGCTCCACTAGCCAAGGAATGGAGCCTGCAGGTGACATGCTGGGTCGGCTACAGTCGAGAGGGGATGGCTGGGCAGAGCTGCCTGGGAGTCTGGCAGAGCCCAGACACTCCTCCTGAAACTCAGACTTCTCTCCCCACTGTGTTCCCCTACTCCCATGAAGTCCTGGAGCTATGGTCAGACACAGAAATAGCCCACAGAAATTAAAACTTCCCTGATAATTCTTTTTGAGGTTCCAGTCAGATTTCTAGGATCCAGGAACTCACCAAGGTGGACTGATTCTCCTAGATGGCAGCACTCTGCGGAGTGGCCCTCCAGGCACTGTCCAGTGGTGTTTCTCCAGGCTGCTCCTGCATTGTGGAGGTGGCTCATTGGGCAGCTGGAAGGACAGCATGCCTTCCTCCTGGAAAAGGCAGCGTTAGCCTGGCCTGGCCCCTTGGCATGCACTGGTGAGACATGGAGGAGCACCAGGCACCTCCAGTCCTCGGAGCAGCCCAGGCTGTTTGTCAGAGATGCCAACAAAGGCGTTCCAGAGGGCCTGGGCAGCCTGGCGGAAGCACCACGGAGAGGCAAAGCAGGTGATGCTGGAGCCTTGGTGCTGCTGCCACAGCCAAGGAATCAATATTGGTACAGCACTAATGGCAGCACCCGGCTTCGTGCCCACAGAGAGGCTTCCTCCGTGTCTGCCCGGTGAGGTGCAGCTCATCCTCCTGCCAGCCCCAGGGCTGCACAGCCCCGCTGCTCCAGAGCCGCGCTCCAGCCCCGTCACAGCGGAGCACGGCCGCTCCTGCAGCCTGCAGGTGCCTCCCGGCTTCCCAGGCTGCTGTCGGGGCACGGTCCCTGCTGGGCACAGGACGGTCCCTGCTGCTGGAGAGGAGAAGGAGCAGCAGGACAGGGCTCGCTGACAGCTCTGGCTCTGCCCACGGCCTCTCCACCTGTCTGGACACCAGGGCTCAGCAGCACCCGTGTGTGACACAGGAAACCACGGAGCTCTCCTGCTCCTCCTGTCCCTGCCATGTGCCCCACTCGGGCCACCGTGGCTCTGTACCTGTGGCAGCTGCTCCCCACGGCTGGAAGGAGGCCGGCACAGCACCCACCCCAGGCTAGCATGGAGGGGCTGTGCCAGTGCTCCTGCCTCCCCCTCTGCTCCTGCCAGGCTGCTGGACTGCCCAGGATGGGGGATCCAGCCCAGGAGGCACAAGGAGCCAGGCTGAGCCCTGGCTCACAGGGGTCCTGCGCACAGGGGCTGACACTGGCAGGGTGCTGTGTGTCCCCAAAGCCACTCTGTCACTCCCCTACTCAGATAGGCAGGAGAGAGGAGATACAACAACAGGCTGGTGGGCTGAGATAAGGTCAGGCAGAGATTGCTCAGTAAATACTGTCATGGGCAAAACAGACTCATCAGGACCACAGCCTCCTCTGGGCATCCCTGTGTTCCAGCATGGGGTCCTCCAGGACTGCAGGTGGGTCTGTGCCCTCCTGTGGACCTCCACAGGCTGCTGGCAAATCTCACTGCAGCACCTGGAGCACCTCCCCTCCTTCTGCACTGATGTGGGGGTCACCAGGGTCTCTCACATGTTCTCACACTTCTCTGGCTACAATGGCCCCTGTGAATTAACTTCCTCTTAGCTCTGTTCTCCCAGAGCTGCCGCTGCTGGGCTCAGCCCTGGCCAGCAGTGGCTCTGCCCTGGAGCCCGTGGGACACGGGGGAAGCTTCCAGCAGCTTCTCACAGAAGCCACCCCTGCAGCCCCCCCTGCTCGCCAAACCTGGCCACGCAAGCCCAGCACAGGACCCAGGTGTGTGCACATCTGGCCACAACACCAGCACAGCCTGGCTGCTCACACAGGCAGCAGTGCCAGCAGCCCTGCTCCCCTTTCTGTCCTGAGACCAGCATGGAAACACAGAGAGCCCCACCTGGGAGTGGGGCTGGATGGGGCAGCACACACAGCGCTGACCCCACACAGGGCACTGTGCACGAGCATCCCTGTGCCCACAGCCCTTCCACTGCTGGCCCCTCCCTGCCTTTGCTCTCCCCAAACCCCATCGATGCCCCAATTTTCCTGCATTCAGTTCCTCCCTGGGCATCCTGTAATGAGCCCTGTGCAATCCTGAATGTTCTTCCCCTGTGCCCCACGGCATGTCCTGTACCCCTGGCTGTGACACTGCCTCTGTGGGGCTGAGCTCCCCTGGGACTGGGAGGTGCTGGATGGAGGCTCATGGCTCTGGGGGTCTCATGAGGGTTTCCCCGAGGCTTGGGGCTCTTCTGGTGTGTTCAGATGAACTTTTCATCACCAAAGTCAGTGTTCCCAGGCTCTGATCTCTCGAGGGCCAGGAGTGAAAGTCATGTCATTGGACCAGCCATATTGGAATGTGCCCCAGCAGGCTTGCCTGAGGCCAGAGAGTTTGAATTCATCCCTAAGCTCTCAATCGGGGCATCCCAGGGGTGTTCTCAACACCCCAGGTAGGTTTTGCCACCCCTCAGACAGCCCTGTCCTGCTGTGGTCTGGGACTTGGGGGCTGTGTCATCACCCCAAGGCTGCAGGGCTCCTCAGGACTCCTGGCACTCCAAGGGGAAATTTCTCTTCCAGCTATTTCCTCTTCTCCTGGGAGAGGGGAATGTGGCCCTGTCACTTGTGGAGCTGCACCCACTGCTGTGAACCCTCAGGTGGTGAAACCACCCCCAGAAGCTTCAGTGGGAAATTAAAGAAGATGCTGTAAAGTGATGTCAAAGCCTCGAGGGAAATGTCACCCATTTATGTGTAATCCAGGATGGGGGGCACAGAGACAAGAGAAAATGTGAGCCCACAAAAGCTGTGACCTATAACCACAACACCTGCTGCATCAGCAGCAAGGGTGACCGTGACTTCTGCTGTCTTCAACATGTTCCATGTGCTGACCTTTCCGATGAAGAGAATCAGAATCATTCAGGCATGAAGCAGAGCGGAGGAGGGTGAAGGTGTTCCCTGTCTGCAGCCTCACCCTGTGGCAGCACAGGCAGAGTGCCTGGAGCTGCAGCTGCTCCTCAGGCCTCCTGCAGGCAAAACCCTGGGCACAGAGGCACTGGAACATGGCCAGGGAGCCCTGACACATCTGCATCAGGAGCTCCCAGAGGGGCTGACTGAGCCTTTGAAAGGCCTGCTTTTTTCTCTGCTGTGAAATGTGAAGGGATTTCCCCCTCTGCAAGACCTTAGGTACACTTCTACAGGGTTTTCCAGGTCATTCCAGAGGCATCACCTGGATCACAGGACGTGGGGCTGAGTGGGTTCATGGGCTCAGCTCACAATTGGGAGAGCTCCCAGAGGTTTCTTCCTTCATGGACATAGCTTGGCATGCCAGCAGCCACAAGCTGTAACTTTCCAAGTAGTTCTGAAATGTTTCTCAGGACAGAAGGCTTTCACAGGTCAGCTGTGACAGATCCAAACGTGAGTGATGATGGATGCTGTTTGGAGACAAAATGTCCTGCAACTTTTTGAGTTATTGTTCCTCACGCTTCTGGAACTGTAACTACTCAGAGGGAAAAAAAACATGTGCTCACCTCCACCCCACACAGGCCCAAATCTCACGTTTCACAGGTCAGCATGAACTTCAGATGTGTCCTGCTAGTGGGTACCAGTTTTCATCCTCGGGATAAACAACCGGGGCTTTATTCATTTTTTAATTAAGCATCTGCTTCCTGTGTGGATTGCTTTGAAAACATCACCCAGGGCTACGTGGGAACGGAGATGTGATGCACGTTGCCCAGGGAAGCTGCATGAATCAGCAGCTGATGCAAAACCCTTTTCTGAGCCCTGTTTAATGTTACATTAATTTCAGATGTCAGGCCCCAAGCTCATTTTTTTGTCAATTTCAGTGACCACAGGGCAGTATTGTTTGTGAAAGGTGCCAAACTTAGTTCTCACGTCAGCAGAAGAGAAAAATAACCCCATTTTCTGTGGCAGAGCTGTTTTGGGAGAGGAACAGTTCCTGGAAAAGGGGCAGAGAGAGCAGGCCGGGCAGTGGAGGACTCAGAGTGCAGAAACGCAGCGAGGGAGCGGAGGGGCGAAGGCAGGGAGGCACAGAGCGGGGCCGATCGATGCCCCTGGGCGGGCAGCTCGGCGGGCGCTGCGCTCACTGC